AGTGTTGAGAGAGTGTTAAGGTAGGCGGGGTGAACGACCAGCAACTAACCAACCAGTTCGGCGACCCAGGCTAAATTTCTGCTACTGGTTCGTGCAAACTGGTGCGAACTGCCTGGATACCACCTCTGGTGCAGCGGTATGGCTTCCTGCTTGAAGTTCCAGCTTCTTCTGAATCAAAAGTGCTTGGATCCACCAGGAGACCCCTCATTGTCAAAAGGTGAACTAGGCAATGGTGACATTTTTCTTTTTCGTCTGCTTTGTCCTTTAGGATGAAAAGGGCAATTGCTTTTGGAATTGGTTCAAAGATACTTTCTTTCGAGCTGAATTTCTCTGGTGATGCATTTGTAGATTTGCTATGTAGCTAGTCCTAAATTAGGGGTCCTTGGTGCTCTTGGAGCTGGATTATTGTCTTGCAGATGTTTCATTACCCAAACTAAGTAACATCATGAATGCTAGCACTAGCAGTCGTGATGTTACCTAGTTTGGATAATGAAACCTCTGCAGGAAAGCAACCCAGCTCAGAGAGTATCAAGAACTCTTCATTTCAACCCTGAGTTACGAAAATTCTCCTTCATTACTCTTCATTTAATGAACACATTTGGGACTATCAGCTTGGTGATTATGTACAGTGGGCATTATTAAGTGAAACCATAAGTGTTTTCAGCTTTCCTTTGAAAGGAAAGACCGTGAAGGTCATAAATTGCAAGGATTGGTCATAAAATCACTTTTTCATAATCCATGTAACTCAGTGGTTGCTAAAATAGGTGGTCACTAAACAAGGACTAGCTGCATATGAAGGTGGCAACCAGTGCATATCAAAGGACATGCCAAGGGATGTTCCTAAGCCTACATCAAGAATAAACCTAGTGCCCTCCAGATGTTTCATAGTACATTTCCCAAAATTTGTTAGCTAGGAGGATATTTGTTGAGCCATGGTGGCATAGTGGTTAGAGTGCAGTGTTGGAGGCTATTTCTGCTGATCACCAGTTGCCTGCAATATGGCAGTTCAAATCCCACCACGTTCAAGGTGGACTCAGGTTTCCATCCTTCCGAGGTGGGTAAAATGAGGACCCAGATTGTTGGGTGCAATAGGCTGACTCTGTAAACCGCTTAGAGAGGGCTGTAAAAGCACTGTAAAGCAGTATATAAGTCTAAGTGCTATTGTTATTGCTATATTTAGCTGGTGCTGGGGTGGGGTTGGTTAACCACTTATGTTTTTATCTATGTCAGTGTTTTTTCAACCTTGGCCGCTTTAAGCTACATGGACTTCAATTCCCAGAATTCCTCAGCCAGTCAGGTTGAGAAACACTGGTCTATCTCATGAATGATTGTTATAGCAATAGCAGTTAGACTTATATACCACTTCATAGGGCTTTCAGCCCTCTCTAAGCGGTTTACAGAGTCAGCATATTGCCCCCAACAATCCGGGTCCTCATTTTACCCACCTCGGAAGGATGGAAACCTGAGTCCACCTTGAACGTGGTGGGATTTGAACTGCCATATTGCAG